CTCGCTGAAGGATGGAGGGAGCAGCCGCAGCGTCTGCAGACAGCCAAATCCGACTTTGAGAAGTGTAGTACGACGATATTGACAATGGCATAGTTTCTGAGAAAAAAAATATTGGCATCTCGAACTCCAATCCATGTTGTTTATCTGCTTTTGACATCACAATGATCGGCCTCTGCACATCTGAAGAATGGCAGCAAAAGTGGACATGCCTCATGGAGGTGCTGCCCACAATTAAGATTCACTGTGCTTCTGATTGCACTAAGTGGCCAGAATCTGATAAACGCCATTGGTGAAGCACGTATACCAAGGCCGAACATTTGGCCCTGCTCCAATGTCCTGAATCGGGCGTCTAGAAACTAGAAACATCCTTGTTTGGTGTGCTCTGGACCGACAGTCCTCCTCAACAACAGGCACCAAGCCTGTACACATCACTCTGATGTGGACAGGTGAGTTTCATCGTGGTACTTGCAGTCCACACAGTCGTTTGAATGTAAAGACCTGCTTTTTGAGCAGCAGCACGCATTGCTTCAGCAGGCCAGAGCCTGTAGCCATGGTAGCTTCAAGGATTTAAGGCGACAAGTGACAAGTGACCAAGCTGAGCAAACCACGGTGGCATACATGTGCAGGTCGAGATATTCTCCACCTCGCAGCTTCTGGAACCCCCCTTTCCCTAAGAGAGATCTCATGTTCAATGTTCACTACCGTAGGCCCGAGCATACTTCTTGTGCTCAGGCTTGGCCCTCTCAAATTCATCTGTCACCTTTCAGCTTGGCTAGTGCACTATGAAGTCTGCGTGAAAGTTGTGACGGAGGATCTGGAATTCATCAAAAATCGTCAATGCCAATGCCCCTTTGGCAATCTTTGGCCTTTAGATCTCAGCTCATGGCAAGGATCTCGTAGGAAAGAAAGGTGCCACCTGGCTTCAGCAGCCTTGCGACCTTTTGCAGGTGTGATGCAATGCTAGAGTAAATCTTGCGAAATCGGGATTAACAACATCCTTCCGGAATCTTGTGGCCTCGCGAAACACAGCGTCCAAATCTGACGAGTATTTCAACGTGTAGATCCCGAAGACTTTGGTGAAGCTGGCGTCCTCAAAGATTCAAAAATAAAAGAAAACATAAGAAAACTAGATCCGAAGTTCTTTTCAAGAGCATGCGAGCAAGCCGAGCCTGAAAGTCTGTTTTGTGGTAGTTGCCCTGTACCTGACCATTCAGCAGCTGCCCCCGGGAGCAAATGTGTTGGAAACTGGGAGAAGTGCAATCTTGCAACGATCATCCAGACCAGCCGCCTGGACAATGAGACAAAGGGCATCGCTACTAGGAGCAAGGACGCTACTAGTGGCTCCTGGCCTTACTACTAGTAACAAAAAGCTACTAGTAACAAAGGGCATCGCTACTAGGAGCAAGGACGCTACAAAATGGAAAGCAAGTACACATTCGACATGCACGGGCTCCTTGATGCGCTCATTGCCACCGACGATCTCGGCATCTGCCATCGTCAACCCAGTGACCTATATATGCGATATACAACATTTGAACACACCTGGCATTTCCTTTTTAGAGCAAGAGACAGAACCAAGCGAAACAACTGCTATGTAGCAAGAAGCTACCAGGAACAAGGGCATCGCTACTAGTAGCAAAGGGCATTACTACTAGGAGCAAATAGCTACTAGTAACTAGTATATAACAAGAAGCAACATGTTCGCCCCGATGAACAAATGCCTTTGAAACCAAGTGGCCGAGGCACCGGAGATCTTTGCAACTTGGCGGCCCATCTCTCCATAGCCACAGCCAATCCTTCGTTTGTTGTTTTGCAGCGGTTAACTTGGTACAGGCCAAAGGTGTTTGATGGTCTTGATAACCGCGCTTGAGAAGGGTTCTTGAGAAGCGGGCTCCAATACTGTGTCCTCTTTGCCTGACGAAGCTTGAAGTGCAGTTGAAATATGTGAGTATACAGTATACATAATGAATCTGTCTAGCATTTTGTGTGTATGTGTGTATACATGTACAGTATACGTATATTACACACATCTTCAGTGCCCATGCGAGGAATGCCCTGGAAGCAGGGAACTTGTGCTCCGTGACAAGTCTTGCAATATGGGCACAAAAGAAGCAAGCTCGATCTTGCCTGCGCCCAAGTAACACGTCATTGTATGATGGAATTGAGAATGGCTCTCCTCACAAAAGAGCAAGCTCAAGAAACGGAGCCCTCAGGGAGGCTAGGTCTCCCTAAAAAACCTAGGAACCATATTGATCGAAGGAGTTTTTGAAGGAAGCTACTTCCCCGCTAAGGGGAGTAGCTACCTTGAAGAAAACTTCGCCCTTCTGTGTCCAGTCCCTAGTAGCTACAGCTTCTACAGCTCAGCTGCTACAGTTTCTACCTTCATCTTCCTCTTCTTCTTCCTCCTCCTCCTCTTTCCCTCTCCTCTTCACGTCCTGCCCCCAAAAAGAAAACAAGATGGAGCCCACGAACCCGAATGCAAACATGTTCGAAAAGCTATATACATATGTCCAAATGACACTCTTGTAGGACACTCTTGTGGGACACTCTTGTAGGAAACTCTTGTAGGAGACTCTTGTGGGTCACTCTTGTAGGACACTCTTGTGGGCCACTTGCAGGACACTCTTGTGGGACACTCTTGCGGGACACTCTTGTAGGACACTCTTCTGGGACACTCTTCTGGGACACTCTTGTGGGTCACTCTTACACGACACTCTAGTAGGACACTCCTTGTGGGACATAAAGCGGGCGGCAGAGTTTAGACACTTAAAATACAAGCTGATTCTTTACCATAGGGGTCTCACCACCAGTTCTGTCTCCAATGATCTCTGGTTTTGATTGTTTTAACCTTTCTGTCACTGATGAATAGATCATCATGTGTTGTTCTGATACTCTCTTGCTCACTGATGAATTAACTCGTGTCCAACTGGCACTAACTTTAAAAAGCTGTCGAGAAACCATCAAAACAAGAGTGAAGTGAATTGTTTTCCATGGCCCGCTACACTCCATCGTGCCCAAACATTGCCGACCTGTCTACAATCCATTCCTCCCAGAAGAGTAAGCACCAACTGAAGAAGCAGTCGAGAGAAGCAAGAGTTATAATGGTTGTCTGTTGCCCAATGTTGCAATGCATTCCTCAATTCTCGTATGTTTGTGTGTTCCTTTTTGTTGAGCAGAAAGCAGAAACAATTCCTACCTTCAAAAAGAGTTGCTCAGGAGCGCAAAGTTGCCAAGACTCTGCTCGAGACTTTCCCTTAAGCATTGGCACAAAGTGCCAGTATGGGCCCGAGCACAGAGTGATAAGGTCCTCTGCAGCGCTTGCGTCTTGTGCTCCCTCAAATGACGGTATCTTTGCAAAAATATCAATAGCTGGATCAGTCCGACATCAAGCTGTAGTAGTTCATCACCCCAGGGACATAGTCTCCTGTCCCCAGTGGCAAAAGCCAAGGATGATGTTTGCAGTATATAACACCGCCCCACCTGATTCCTTGCCCTGTTTGATAGCCGCACGGTGGCTCTTCATGAATCCACGGAAGTCTGTCCTGAGAACATCAGTCAATCCAAGGATTTACAACAAAAACGGCAAACTCTCTCAAGCGCCAGGTGAGGTCCTGCGGTAGTTCCAAATGACCGCCAAAAGGGAGGCAAGATTCTGGCCGTCAGCCTGGCACCATTCTCCCCCCAAAACGTGGGAAGGCCGGACTATTCAGGATAAGACCATGCTCGCACCCATGCTTCCAACACTCGGCCTATACTCGCAACACATGTTTATAAAGTGTCGCAACCAAATTCACTTTGCATCAAACAATTGGACTTCGTTGTCTCTTCGCTTTGGAACCCTTACTCCCAACCCTGATGTTTTGCCTTCACTGTTGAAGACAAGACAGCAGTGTCCCTATTTAAGTTCCCCCAGAGGCTCTACTTGCTAAAACCACCGCTGCTGCACCTTGCCGATCAACTTCTGCCACAGCATCCCAGCGAAAGGAAGCACCAGCAACTCGGCCAAGAACAAAGAAAAAAGTCCGTTTAAGGCAAAAAAGAGATATATAATAGGTTTGTAGGGCCCATTTAACGCGGCCTTACCTTATTTGTTCATCTCTGTGTTTTCTCTTCATTTGTATGATGCATTATAATGTTTGACAAGGCCGGACACATCTACCATGTGGCAAACGCATCATGCTGGGAATTGAACGGTCATGCCACAGGTCTGCAGAAGAGCATGCCTGGAGTCACTTCAGGAACTGTCAAAAAGGAAGTAAAACAAAAATATACAGTACTGGACTGTTGGACTCTCACAATTATTGCCGCAGAGTTTGACTATTAAATGTCATGCTCCACCTGGAGATGATTTGTGTCATTGCCTCATGTCAAGGCAGGTTGCGCATCAGCAAGAGTGACAAGCCAACAGCTACCTTTCACACCGATGCTTCACACTTACTTGCAATGCCATTATAAGCCAACTGCTACCAGCTTTGTTGCGCGGTGAGAATAATGACAATGGAGCCAAATGCTGCAGTGTCAAACTTGGACGGCGTTTGTTCATTTGCAGGATAGTTGAAAATTGCGAAAGGTGCGAGCTTGTTAAGACAAACCCTTGAAGCAGCTAGGCTATGCAGCTTGCGAGACGAATGAAGTTCATGTGTTTTCGGCCGGTTTGGCATGAATGACATCGCCTGCTTCATGCTGCTGGAGGTCCTCTGCAGCCTAAGGCTTGCAATCCAAAATTGAAAGCTGAAAAAATAGTGTGCGCACGTGTCTTGGAAACATTTCGGATATCGAAGCTTTCTTTTGGATTATTATTGTTCCGGCTTTCTGTGCTGCAAGGTTCAGAAACTAAGATTATGGCTTGAAAGCCCTGGGATGTCTGATTGTTGAGCCAAGCAAATTACGCTGCGTGTCGTCGGCCAAATACTCAAAATGTTGAAGTCTAGCTACTTGCTCTTTCGTGTCCAGTCGCAGCGGCCAGCATTTTGGGTCCACAAATCCAAAGTGAGACAGGTGAAACATCCACAGACTTTTCTGTGAAATGGTGCAAGTAGTTGGAGGCCATCGCTATTAGGTTGGAGGCTATCGCTTCTAGGTTGGAGGCCATCGCTCTTAGGTTGGAGGCCATTCCTACTAGGTTCCTTTTGCTATTAGGTTGGAGGCCATCGCTAAATTGTGATCACAATCGACCCGCTCTGGTCAAAGATAGGTCGTCTCAACTCCACCCGGACCTGCCGCACGAAGGCTCAGCCATACGCAATAAATCGCAACAAACAGCTAGGTTGTAAGGAAGCGTGGCAGCAACGGCCTCCCATCGAGAAGAGTCTCCTAAGTTTGGACGGCCAAAAGCATGAAAGGAAGAAGCTGCGAAGCAGGGTGAAGCTGTGAAACGCAGCCGAAAGGAAGCCAAAACCTCAGAGAATAATGTGGAATCCAGATGCAACGATTTTGGACAGCCACTCTGACTTCATCTTCAAAACCGAGATGTGCCGAGATATGTTCCAACAATGGGATCAAGGATACCGCCGATACCGCCTATAGTTTTTACGCCTTGGTCTTCCGTCCTACAGTCAAGTCCGGCGGTCCTGTAGTCACGGAAGTCAACTTCCTCTTTCTTCTTCCCTCTTGCGTCCCTGGCGAAACTAGGACCTCCAACTTACCCTTGCGAGAAAAGCCACTAGCTGATCAAATGAGGTGTTTCTATTTACTGCATGGTGCCACCAGCAAGGTCTGAAGGGCATGGTGGAAAGGTACCTTTGCAAGCCTCCGAGCCTCTGCATAGATGTGTTCTGGACTATCAATCGTTGTGCAATGACGTACTCTGACTCTCTACAGCCTGACATTTTCGCGAGCCAAATCTCGTATCCTGCAGCTTCTGATGATTTTGCACACTCAGCAAAGTCTCTGTAAACAACTGCCTTGTCGCCAAGAAGGGGTTGGTTCAGGCCAAATTCATAAACTCAAGGCCCAAACCGCTAAAGTTGTCGAGCAAAACCTTCAGTTTGGGTTTTAGGTTTTAGGGTCCAAAACAGCACACAACTGCACGTAGGGTTTTGGTCCTTGCTCGCCAAAGAACATGCACGCTGCTACATAGGAAGACAAATGACTACGCATGAGAACACAGGTTTGACAAAGTCAGTCGCACTTCAATCTCTTGAGTCCTTCTGATTGCTTTCGACATGATCTCGTCCGTTAAGCCACTGATTCCACTCTGTGTGAGGGCCTCTCGGACCTAGGGAATTACACATTAGACATGATAAAACGCATTGAATGTGACAATAGTTCAATGAAACATTGTTTGTCGTTTCTTGGAAGCACCTTCTCAAGGTCCAAGAACTCTTGGTTCTGATCGCTCAACATGTCGAAGGATAACTCTACCGGATCGACCTCAAAGTCGCCTTCCTTCCATTTTTGTCTTTGGATGATTCCAATTGCACTTCGAAGAGAAGCAGAACTGTCTCCTGAAGATCGGCCCAAAGTTCCTCGAGGGATACTAACGAGCTTCCTGATGTGTGCTCCTGATGTAACAGCGATTCGACTGGAATCAGACTGTCAGTAGTTGCACCTTCCCAAGGACCCATTCCAGCTGCTGGTTGGTAATGAGGGGATCAAAGGTCCTGTGATGCGACAGAACGAGTTCTAATCAGCTCTACCCAGCTGTGAGTTTGGTTTTCAAGCTGGTTTTCAACTGGTTTAAGCCGTGAGGCTCGCTACTGGTAGCTATTAAGTAGTTTTCGTGTCTTTTTTTTAAGCCCGTTGGGGGGGTAGGACTAGGTAGCTAGTAGAGACTAGGTAGCTACTTCTAGCTACTACCGACAGGACGCAGGAGAGCTCACGCTTCTTCAAGTAAGCTCCCCGCAAAAGAGCTTGCTCGAAAATCCTAGACTTTGGATTACATTTATATATATATACTATAAATATAACTTCCATTCCAACCCTAGACAATGTAGAAACTGTGTCCTTAATGTCTGCAGCAGCTGCTTGTGGGTGACAACGGGCGAATATTCCTCCTTCTCCTGCAGGAAGCAAACGACAAATCTGCTGAACCTTGTCAAAAATGCTGCCTCATTGCTCTGATCCATTGCCAATGACACGAAAAGTTTCTCCTGAAAGGCAGCGTCGTGCTTCTGAAAGTTTTGAACCTTAGCAAGCAAAAATTCAGCGGCTGGAAATCGAAATGATTGCAACAAAGTCACGAAATGCATCGGTTGCGCATTGCGCGTCGGGCCAATCGAACTCTAGGCTTGGCACAAATTTCCACGCAGATTCAGCCGCCTCCTCTGTTGTCTTCTAATCAAAAACGCACTGAACGCTGCCAATCAATCATGTCGCTCCCACAAAGGTTGGTTCCTCCATCCAAATGCTGCAACCCTGCCTGGCCCATTGCCAACCGTCCATTTGTGCTGAGAGTAGAGGCGACAGGGCCAAACGCAACTGAATTTCTTTCCCTGGCAGAGTGCTAAATCGCTAAATCAACAGCGCCAGTGCTTTTCACCTTTGATTCCAATTCAGCACGCACCTGCCACCAGCACTTGCCCGAGAGACAATACTGCTTCGAGCCTACCAAGCAAAGTTTGCCAAAAACTACTTCCACAGAATCCCGGAAACGACCTCTGGGAAAAGGTTTGTAGGGCTTGCAGCGAATGCATCTCTTCAAATGAAATGGAACGTGACTGTCCTCTCCTTTCCTTTCCTCTCCTCTCCTCTCCCTCCCTCTCCCTCTCCCTCTCCCTCTCCCTCTCCCTCTCCCTCTCCCTCTCCCTCTCCCTCTCCCTCTCCCTCTCCCTCTCCCTCTCCCTCTCC